CCACTCATCATACACCACTCATCATACACCACTCATCATACACCACTGATCATACACCACTCATCATACACCGCTCATCATACACCACTCATCATACACCACTCATCATACACCACTCATCACACACCTCTCATCATACACCACTCATCATACACCACTGGTGAGATGACTCAGATTTCGTAGCAGGCACAGCACTTTGTGAACCTCCATGTGCAGATTTCGCGGCAGGCGCAGCACTTTGTGAACCTCCAGGTGCAGATTTCGTGGCAGGCGCAGCACTTTGTGAACCTCCATGTGCAGATTTCGTGGCAGGCACAGCACTTTGTGAACCTCCAGGTGCAGATTTCGTGGCAGGCGCAATACAAAATGCGTTTTGGAGAGATAGCGGACGCACGAAATGCTGTATTTTTCCAATAGAACCGGTGGCTTCAAACCTGGCAAGTCTAGCTCTGCGGAACGACGGGTGCGCGACGGTCTGGGGTCATTCTCGGGCATGGTCGGAATCGTCCCTCCATTGGGATTAGAGTTTTCACTTGTTTCTTGAAGTGCAGATTTCGTGGCAGGCACAGCGCTTTGTGAACCTCCATGTCCAGATTTCGTGGCAGGCGCAACATTTCGTGGCAGGTGCAGCACTTTGTGAACGTCCATGTGCAGATTTCGTGGCAGGCGCAACACTTTGTGAACCTCCAGGTGCAGATTTCGTGGCAGGCGCAGCGCTTTGTGGAGCTCCATGTGCAGATTTCGTGGCAGGCGCAGCACTTTGTGAACCTCCAGGTGCAGATTTCGTGGCAGGCGCGGCGCTTTGTGAACCTCCATGTGGAGGTTTCGTGGCAGGCACTGCTGAGAACTGGCGACTTTCTAGTACAACTTTAGTACGCGGAGCAATCTGTAGAGCTGGAAGCTGAGAACTCACGACTTTCTAGTACAACTTTAGTACGCGGAGCAATCTGCAGAGCTGGAAGCTGAGAACTGGCGACTTTGCAGTGCAACTTTAGTACGTGGAGCAATCTGTAGAGCTGGAAGCCGAGAACTGGCGACTTTCTAGTGCAACTTTAGTACGCGGAGCAATCTGTAGAGCTGAAAGCTGAGAACTGGCGACGTTGTAGTACAACTTTAGTACAACAAATTGCAGCTGCCCAGTTGCTTCAGCACGCCGGTGTGGGCTGCTGATCTTGCTTTGCCATAGGCACACAACTGACACAACCCAGTACGCTGTTGTGAGCTGCTGATCCTGCAGGAAGCACAGACCTTGCACAGGTGGCGCTGTGTTGATCAAAAGTCCGGGGCGCGTGCGTTTGACTGGGGGACGCGCGTGTTTGAGAGAACCGGAACACTCCTATAGGTCAACTTGTTCTTATAGGAAACTTCCGCCGCCGGCTTGCCCAGGAACTGCTTGTATGTATACTGCTTCATCAGCTAGGTTTGTCGGAGTAACCTATATATGTGGCTAGTGTTTGATGCTCAGGTGAAGGTTGGAGATGCAGACATCGCAGAAGGTTGGGGCTTGGAGTTACATGAGCTTGTCAAGGTTTTTGCCTCCTTTCCGTATTTTGAGTTCTTGCTTTTGGCAGCAAAATTCGTTTTAGACACAAGACTAATCATAGAATGTGCAAGGCATGCAGTACTCAGGGTACCTCTTAACAGCGGAAGTCTTTTTTAATACTGTAACAAAGTCCACATGTTAATTGCGAAAATGAATCTTGTAGTTGCGAAGTGACACGCTGATTGCCACCGCATGGCTGAGTCAACTGCCTCAACATGGCAGAGCTGGGTCTCTGCCAACACTCACGTGGCGGGTATTGAATTCTCATCAGGTCCAAGAAGTTATATAATGCGAGGGATGCACCATTCATTACCCAACTGCTTCCACCACAAAGGCCACTTGGGAGCCATTGCTTTGTGCTTCTGGCACCCGAACAATAACTTTGTCTTTGCCGCTTCACATCAAAGACATCCGTAGTGGCAAAGGCCCCCCTCAAAGTGAATTCGGGCAGCCTAAAAAACAAATTTGGAGGGGTCTTTGGTGCTTCGCATCCTTAAGACACCCGCAGTTTCAATTGAACGAGTTTTCGCAATTGAAAACCACAATTTCGCAATTATGGATTTGCCTGCTTTCGTATTATGTAAAGGGCACCCTCTGCAGTACTCAGCTAAATTTGTTGGTCTGAGCCGAGTGCGCAGGCGATTTTGCAGGCGGCGCATTGTTTGCTGGACCAGATATCCCTTCTCTGGAAGGTGGCCGTGAAGTGAATGCTCGGTCCAAAGATGGTGCGACGGAAAAGAGTGAGCTCAGCAAGATCTTTGGTGAATCCGTTTGACAGAAGCATCAGCAGTGCTGCGGTTTAAGGTACTGGGGGAAGTGTTCCATTGATTGTGTTTTGTCCACTTGGAGTCTTCCCAGCATTTGGGTTGCCTTTCCAACCGTTGAAATGTTGGCTCATGTCACCTTCACCTCCTTCCCTCCCGCCCAAGGTTGCCATGTTCAACAAGAAGCGCACCAAGCGAGGTGAAAACCAGACTCTTTTGTGGAGATGTTAGGAGTACTTTGCGAGATCAAAACAAAAGGCCAAACGTACCTGATTTTTTGTGTCCAGAAACAATGTGTGAAGGTGCGGTGGCTGTTTTCTTTGCTTGGAACTGTCCACCTTAGTGCCACTGGCAAGTCCAGAGGGTTGGCAACTTGT